TATGAAATATTAATAATTTCTAGTTTCATCATTAAAGGAATGAACAAAATAGTAATGTCTTTACCCATAGGGAGATTTTATGATAGTCGATTCATTTATGATTTATTATTTGTTTACATTGGTAAACTTATAATTGTTATTGATGGTTTATGCCTCATAATTTATTTAGTAAGCATGTCTATGATATACCTACAGTTGATCAAATTTGATGATGGTTGAGGATAAGGTTCCTAGTTTAAATGGTGATAACTACAAATCCTGGAGAGAGGCTGTCCTTCTTCATTAGGGTGCATTGATCTTGACATGCTCTTCGTAAGGAAGAGCCATCTACCCTAAGATACTAGTTCTCAAGCTGAGATTGCTTTGTATGAACGGTGGGAGCGATCTAACCGTTTAAGCATGATGTTTATCAAATCTTACTTACAACTAGTATCCGTGGGTCGATACCAGGGTGTGAAAATGTCAAGGATCTGATGGGGCAATTCATGCACAATTTGAAACATCAAACAAGGCATTAGGAAGCATCCTAATGAGTAGATTGACATCCATGAAGCTCACTGGCATTAAAGGAGTCCGTGAGATATTATGAAAATACGGGACATCGCTGCTCAGTTGAGATCCCTTCAGATGGTGAAATGATGATTTTCTCTTGCATTATGTCATGAACTCTCTCTTCTCTCATTATACTCCTTTAAGATATCTTATAACATACATAAGGATAAATGGTCAATCAATGGCTTTTGACCATGTGTGTTCAGGAGGAGGAGAGACTGCTTCAGGAAGTGAATGAAACTGCACATCTGGTGACAGAAAATGTCAAGTACACTTCAAACAAGAATAAGAAGTGGAAGGGAAAAGGCAAGTTGCATGAGGTTATGAGCAAAGTAATAAGGACAATATCAAGTGTTTCTTCTGTAAAAAGACAGGACACATGAAGAAGGATTGTCCTAAGAGGAAGGCCTGGCTTAACAAGAAAGGTAACCTCTTATCTCTTGTGTGTTATGAATCTAATATGATTGTGTTTCAATAATGATTGGTGGATTGATCTGGTTCTACAATCCATGTTTCTAATACCATACAGGTGTTTTCTGGATCAAAGGAAGCCATTGGGAAGTGAATGTTGCATCTATTCAGGAAACAGGAGCCTTCACGTGTTCAAGCTGTTGGAACATTTAGACTTATTTTAGTACTAATTATGCTTTGGGTTTGGAACAAACCTTTTATATCCTAGTTTTTCTAGGAATTTAATTTCGTTTCTAAACTTGTACCTTGTGGATACTCTTTCAACTTTTATGGTAGTTCTTTTAATTTAGTTAAGAACTCATCTATTGTTGGAAATGGTACTTTGGTTGATGGTTTGTTTAAAATTCATTTAAGTGATATGTTCCTTATAGTCTTATGACTTCACATGCTAACACTGGTATGAAACGTACTATATGTATGAAAACTCTTCAGTTTTGTGGCATAGGAGATTAGACACATCTCCATTGATAGGATTAAAAGGGTAAATGTGGAGTTCTTGAAACTCTTGACTTTACTGACTTTGATACTTGTGTAGACTGCATTAAGGGAAAGCAGACTAACAAATCCAAGAAGGGTGCCAGGAAGAGTTCTGAACTTTTAGAAATCATACACACAGATATTTGTTGCCTGACATGAGCTCTAGTGGTCAGAAATATTTCATCACCTTTATTGATGATTACTCACGATATATGTATCTCTATTGCTTTATCACAAGGATGAAGCGTTGGATGCTTTCAAAATATAAAGCGGAAGTAAAGAAACAATGTGAAAAACAAATTAAGATCGTGAGATCTGATAGAGGTGGTGATATTATGGTAGATACACTGGTACAGGACAAGCACTGGTCCATTTGCTAAATTTCTTCAAGAGCAAGGTATTGGGCTCAGTACACCTGCCTAGCACACCATCTAGAATGGTGTAGCGGAACGGAGAAATAGAACATTAATGGATATGGTACGGAGTATGCTGAGTAACTCCAAACTTTCTCATTCTTTGTGGATTAAAGCTCTCAAAACTACAGCGTATATATTAACCGAGTTAACTAAGGTGGTTCCCAAAACGCCATTCGAATTATGGAAGGGTTGGAAACCAAGTTTAAGTCATTACGCATCTGGGGTTGCCCAGTTGAAGTTAGAGTTTATATCACAAGAACGGAAGTTGGATCCTAGGACTATCAGTGCATATTTTATTGGATAGGGGAAAAATCCAAGGGATATAAGTTTTATTGTCCGAACCATTCCAATAGAATTGTTGAATCAAGAAATGCCAAATTTCTTGAAATGATGTGGTTAGTGGGAGTGATCAAATCAGAGACTCAGTCCCTGAAAAATTGATGCTTTAGACAATGCTTCTACATTAAGTAAAGATGGTTGTTCATTCAAACGGGTGAATAATGAGGACCACTCAATCAAAATCCATATTCTGATGAGATTGTTTTAGAAGATCATTTAACAACCTCCACTACAGGAGGAACAAACAGTTGTGCAACAGTCTCAATAGAGACTGTGTTGTTAGAACATTAAGGAGATCTACTAGAACAAAGAGATCATCAATTTTTACTGATTATGAAGTGTATTGCAAGAGTCTGACTGTGACATAGGTATGAGGATGATCGACACATTTTTACAAGCTATGAACAGTAGTAAATCTGAGTTGTGGTATCTGCCATGATAGACGAGATGAATTCTATGGCGGATAATGAGTTTGGGACCTTGTTGAGTTGCCTACAGGAAGAAACCTATTGGTTGTAAATGGGTATTTAAAACAAAAAGGATTCATTAGGCAACATTGAGAGATACAAGGCTAGACTTGTTGCCAAGGTGTTCACGCAAAGGGAAGGAATAGATTATAAGGAAACGTTTTCTCCAGTTTCTAAAAATGATTCCTTTCGTATCATAATGGCATTAGTTGCCTATTTTAATTTAGATTTACATCAAATGGATGTGAAAACAGCTTTTCTCAATGGAGATTTGGAGGAAGAGGTTTATCTGAAACAACCTGAGGGTTCATTTCAAGTGATGGTGAGCATTTGTTTTGCAGCTTAAGAAGTCTATTTATGGACTAAACAAGCCTCCCGACAGTGGTATTAAGATTTCACACTGTTATCTCTTCATTTGGTTTTGTAGAGAATGTCATGGATCAGTGTATATACCACAAGGTTAGTGGGAGTAAAATCATCTTTCTTGTGTTATATGTAGTGATATTCTACTTGCAACCAATGATTTGGGTTTGCTACATGAGGTGAAACAATTTCTCTCTCAACATTTTAGTATGAGGATATGGGTGAGGCGTCTTTATGTCATTAGCATTAAAATTCATAGGGATAGGTCAAACATGTTTTGGGACTATCTCAGGAAGCCTATATTATAAAATTCCTGAGAGATTTAGGATGAAAGATTGTTCACCCAGTGTTGCACCCATTGTTAAGGGTGACAGGTTCAATCTGAACCAATGTCTTATACTTGAGATTGAAAAGGAAAAATGAAAACTATTCCTTATGCTTCCATTGTTGGAAGCCTAATGTATGCTCAGTCTGTACTAGACCTGACATCGCTTTTGCAGTTGGCATGTTAGGAAGATATCAAAGTAATCCAGGTTTGGATCATTGGAGAGCTGAAAGAAGGTCATGAGGTATCTTCAAGGAACTAAAGGTTTCATGCTTATTTAAGACACTCCGACATTTTAGAAGTCGTCGGTATTCAGACTGACTTCGCTGGCTGCATTGATTCTCGAAAATCAACATCCGGATATGTTTTTATGCTCGCTGGAGGTGCTATATCTTGGAGAAGTGCCAAACAATCTTTAGTTGCCACTTCTACCATGGAAGCTGAGTTTGTTTCCTGTTTTGAGGCAACTACATAGGGTATTTGGTTGAGAAGTTTCATTTCTGGGCTTGGAGTTGTTGAGTCTATCTCTAGGCCAATAAAGCTATATTGTGACAATTCAGCTGCTATATTATTTGCTAGAAAATAAGAGTGGAAGTCGAAGTAAACACATCAACATTAAGTACTTAGCAATAAGGGGCACGTTAAAGCCAAAGAAGTGCTCATTGAACACATACATACCGAGTAAATGATTGATGATCCTCTAACAAAAGGCATGCTACCAAGACGTTCAAGGATCATGTTGTTCAAAATAGGACTATGTCCCGCTTTGTCACTATGAGAGGTAATACTTTCATTGTCTGAAACTTTGTAATTTAGTTTGTTTTCTCTTTTAAGTGTATACATTTTGGTTGGAGACAAACAAACATTCTAGAAGACCTAGAACAAACATTTGATACATGGAATATAATACTTGTTTAAAGGACTTACCGCTATGATTCATGTAATTTCCCATTTCTAATTGAACATACCGCATATACATCTCTTGTGTTGGCTATATTATACAAGTTTGGACCAAGTGGGAGAATGTTAGACTTTTTGCAATATGGTCCTACACTTTCATATAATACATTTGGTCCTTGCTGATGTGGACTGATGTGGTCATACGGTTGTGTCTCTTGAGAGTTGTCTTTGAGGAAAGACAACTGATATAAGAAGGAGACTTTACAGGTCCCCATGTGACGCAGTTTTTATTTTAGTTTCAAAACCATCACTCTAAAGAATTGCAGTCAGTGGAGATCCTATAATTTTTGAAGGAGCAAGAAGATCAAACAACAATTGTTATGGCTGGAGGTTGTCATTTACTTCCGCTATATTCCATGGAGATTTTATATTGAAATTGATTGTATTATCACTTTTATATGAATATTGGAATATGAATTGTTTTTACATATTCTACTTGTTTTCTTTTAATCTTTCACCTACATACAATCTACTATTAAAACATATACCAATAAACACTTAACTTGTATTATGGTAATTCTTTATCTACTGAAATGCTTGAATATTGCTCATCAATGAGATATAATCTCGCTTGTGGCTTAACATGTTACTTGATTGAAAAAAATTCGTTAACTGTTCTTTTGGTTCCAGGCAGCTGACAGTGAAGAGGAAGGACCGGCTGCATAAAGTCAGATGGGGATTTGTTCATTGCTGAACTCAAGCGGGTTGATGACCGAGGTTGGTGAACATAGCATCTTTCACCAAGTGAATTCTACCCAGTATGGACAGTTGAGCCTCCTACCGATGCTCTCAAACAGGTGCTCCATTATTGTACGGGATGGCAGAATGTCCACCGGCCAGCCGCAAGTGTTAGCTGCTAAGTAGCCTTACTATAAGTATCACTAAACATATATGATTCAATTTCCATCCCTTCGTTTTTTTTTTTTTGCTTGGATATTCTATGATCTTATTGCCTTTCCATCTGTTATGTAAATGTATTTGCTGCTTGTATATTGCAGCCTATCTTAAAGTTACTAAGGATAGATAAATGAAATATAAAATCACGAGTGTGTCTCTGGTGAGCCTCTACACATTGATTGTTGAGAATGGCAGGTTATGGAATTAATCCATATTGTATTTTAAACGCTACATTAGATTAGTTAATGGTAATTTGGTCGTGTGGGGTCGGGTTTTTTTTTCATTTTAGCCATTTTTGTCTTAATCCATATGGTGGACATGAACGATACGAGGGACGTTTTACTTAATAGTCAAATCATAATACTGTAAATTGATTGATCTGGACCGAATTCCGTATCCATTACACAGATTATTAGTTGTTTCGATTTTTATATGGCCAAAGTTGCACTAATTTCCATCGTTTTCATTGAATTTCGGTGCCAGAAAGCCAATAGTTCTTGAAATGGCCTCCGCCAAGTTGAACATGATGTTACAAAGGGCACAAACAATTGGCGTTCAAATTTGTAATTCCCCACGAAATGGCTGAAAACTTAGGACCAAATTAGTGTTGCTTGCGGCCCGGCAGCATTCAAAGCGTGCAAGTTGAGAATTAAATTGAAATTCAATTACAAACTGAAATATTGATACTGTATTTAATATTATGAATGACAAATTTGAAATCAATCAATTATTATTATTATTATTTTTTGAATTGTAAATAAATTATCTTCTAAAAAAACTATTAAGATTCTTCCGTTTTACCATGAAACAGCTGTATCATTTGACTTATAGGTTTCAAGTTTGGTGTATGAGATTGGAAATGCAGTCTTTTCACGTCTCCTTCGGAAACTTAAAATGTCTTTTCTATATTCATATATCTAATAGTTCACCATGACAATGTCCTAGAATTTCTTTGTTTTTAGTTCATACTGTGAATTTCTAGATATTCTCTTAAAATTTCCACTGATATTTCAGGTGCAATACACAATTGAAAAGGCCTTCAGAAATGCCACATCCGCCTTTGTTAAAAGTCTATGGTGACATAAAAGAATACCATTTCGCGACAGTATAAATAATTTATTAATTGTATTTAATACTTTTTTTTTTATATAACGGGTGTTCAAGTGAGTTTCCACATACTTAACTAATTCTCTGGGACTTTAGAACTATCGGTCGAGTAAAAGTTCTAGTGGTTATCCCTATTAGCCAACGAGGAGGAATCAAACTATAATTTCTTGAGTAATTATCCGAGAGTTCCTTGCGCCACTTGGTCATCCGAAGATAATATAATAACTTTTTTTTTTTTTTTTTTTTTAAACGGCTGGAAATATCAAGTGTGAAAGTAGAAATCAATTATTGAGGTGAAGGATTGTGCAGAGTCCAAAATAATTTGGATCCGAACAGTGTGGAAATGTCCATGCAATGCATGCATTTTACAGACACAAACGAGAGATATTCGGAGGAAGAAATAGAGAAGATTCATAAATTCCTTGTATATTCTCTAATAATCTATCTAATCAATAATACATAAAATATATACATATCCAAAAATGGTATACTAATCCTTAAAATAATAATGCATCAATTCGAAACTCTAAGCTTTCAACCGCGAATGCCGCCGATGGAGAGAGACGAAGTGAAGACGAACCCGTACTTCCGGACCTTCATTCGTTCCAAAGAACAGGTCCGACAAGTATATTCCCACATCTTAGCGGAAAATCTCACCACCATCCGGGCATTTCTTTCTCCTCCAATGTAATCTATGTTATCATACAACTCCCGATATTTCGTCACAGCTTTCTCCCAATCGACACTTAATCTCGTCCCGCAATTTCGGGTCCGGCACGATACACGAACTCTGTTGGTTATACACTTGCTCAAAACTCGACTGAAAATTTCTAAAGTAGTCTTTGGCTTGACCCGGTGTAATCGCGGCCGTCGGATTCTCCGGTAATGATTTGAAGACTTGTTCCCATGCTACCCGCCTCGTAGTTGGCGGCGAACTGTCTCACTTTTGTCGTTCTGGTTAATCCATTCGTCACCGAGGAGGTATTGGAGATTTGATGTACGACTTTTGATACGACGTGTTGAAGATTGTTCGCCAAGAATAGGTAAGACAAGAAACGTCTTGTAAAGCTTCGCTTTGCTATCAAGTTTGCAGAGAAGAACGGAATGAGCCACGCCAGTGTAAGGTGATGGCCGGCGCGGAGCGTCAGTGGAGTCTGGACTGTCGAAGGAGGATTCCGGCAAGGATGATTTCGCCGGCGGAGGCAAGTCGGCGAGAATATCGGTTAGAACGTTACTGTAATCGGCAAGGAGAGAGATATTTCATTGCTTGGTCAGTTAAGGATGAATTCCACCACCGGGGACGTGGGATTTCGATGAGTCTTTCCGTATTGAAGACTCGAAATCGGAAACCATTGCACGCACTGTCTCGCTGAGTTTGACGAGTGAATTGAGAGCCTGTATCGGACGGTGGAGTTTGATTCGTGGGAGAAGATTGATTAATCTCCGGCCAGTTTTCGGCTATGGCGGTGTACATACCAAGTACACGAAACATTTTCTCTGGAGGTGATTTCTTCGTTTTGGCGACGAGTTCAGGGAAACTAAAGAGCATTAAGGCTCCTTCTTTGGAGATATCGCTAAAGCACGACTCTTTAATGGAGTCCGAGAAGCGAAGACGTGGTCGCAGAGGATTCTTTCTCGTTGAAGAGTGTTCTCATGGGATCTTCACGGCGTCTAACCAGTTCTTGATTTTCACTTCAAGAGTTTCCCAGGCCATTTTGTTGATTTGAGAATTGCTGAATCGTTCCACTCCGAGACGGTAAATGCCTTCATCGATAATGGATTTGCGTATGATTTGTAGATACTTATACATTCTTTAGCATAGCCTGCAGAAATCATGCAATCTGCAATAGATTTCAAATCCGACATGGCGATTGAAGATACCTCTTCTACTTCGGAGATGGAATCGCCTGCTACTCGAACATCATCGTCTTCCGGTGAGCCATCGTCCTCGTAATCTGAAATGCTGGATCTGGCTGATCTTGATGACCTTGTGGATACTGATTCCGGGTCTAAGTGTGCCCGGTTCATGGAGAGAATTTGATAAAATTCCTTTTGTAGTCTCTTCATGGCAATTGCATCAAGTTTGGGCTCGGATGAGTTTTTCAGAAGCTGAATCCTCTGAAACTAACAACTGCATGGCTTTCTGCAGATCGTTAACGCACTTCAAGAACTGCATGGCTTCTCCCTTATCCTCGTAAAAGAGAGAAGTGACTCTAGCAAACGTTGATGAGTCCGGATCCCATTTCGTGATCATTGCCGTCGCGAATTCATGATTTTCTCCATTGTCGTAGATTCAGAAAAGCTGGGAAGATGCGCTATTAGAGCGGGAGAAGCTCTTGACTGGCGAGGGAGAGAAATCACCGACGTCGTTCTGGGGTTAAAGCTCTTGACTGGCGAATTCAATTTTTTGAATGTATATGTTTACCAAAATTTTGATTTTCCTTTATTTAAAGTTCCGGTTACACGTGCTTGTCTACTTCTTTTTTTTTTTTTTTTTTAATCGGGGTATCTAAGCTAGTTTACGTATATCTCAACTAATTTTAATGATCCTAAAAAGGGATTGAGAGGGACTTGAACTCAAACCTCTTGAGTAATATACTCAAGAATCCCTATCGAACTACTCGACCAATTAAAGGTGAGTTGTGCTTGTCTATTTTGGATTAATCAATGTTAATATTTTGTTAATACTAATTAATTTATCTCATTAACAACTCATACTTTGATTTGAACTTGTAAATTCCCATTTAAAAGAAATGTTGATTATAAGCAGATAATATTTGATTTTAAATTCTTATATTGATTTACTGAAAATTAGCAGCCATTTTAATAACTCTATGTGAAAGCTCAGGTTGCATATTGCTATAACTTATAGGTTGTGTCATTGATCAAGACTAATTATAATAAAATTACGTTCAAATTACCCATAATCTTCAATCTTCTTTCATAAAATATGTTTGTGTAATCAGCAAGATATACAAATCCACATAAGATTGTAAATCAACTTAATTTTTTATATTATAATATTGTCAGAAAACATATGCAGCCAGCCACATGAATTTCACTGCTATTAATTAGTCATTAAAAATTGAATCTTGTTGACATTAATATACAATTACATCATCTGCTAATTAAGAAAGTTGAATTAAATATTATAATTAACTCATGACTTGGGAATTGGGATCAAAAGTCTTGCTACGTATCTGTCAGTTTTATTATTTTGAGTAGTATTTTTGAAATATTATTGTTAGATAGAGTTCTGTGATTATTACGAGGTAGAATTTAAAAATTAACAAAAAAATCTCATAGGTTTGCTAATTTAACTTAGCATTCCAATATATAATTTTTTTTTTTTGTAAAATAACAAAAACACCTCACCACACATAGTTGTCAGATTCCGGCTACCATCGTCGGAATCTGGTATTACGGTACACGACCGACTAGATATGGTCGATCACACGCCGAGATGACATTTTCTAGCCAGATCCACCTTGGATCTGACTGGAAAATGCTAGATCTGACTGTGTTTGGTCGTCAAGGACAATCAAAGATATGACCGTCATTGAAGACCAGCTACGACCAAATCTTTGGCCTTAGATCTAGTCAGTAAATGATAGATCGACACACTATCAGCCAGATCCAGCCAATAGTGTACTATTATACCAGATTCTGACCACTTTTC